CGCTAGGTTAACGCTGAGTCAAGCAGAGTTATAGTGCAAGGTCCTCATAGGGAGAGGAGGAGGGGGGGGAGGGGGGAGTTACTCTTTTTTGGGTAATTGGATGGTGTCAGACAGGGTAATAGGAGAAATCCGGAGTTCTGATGTTATGCGTGGAAATAGTAAATTCTTGTAGTGTGAGGGAAGCGGAGAGAAGAGGGGGAAGGGGGAAGGGGGGAGAGAGAGAGGTAATAGCGGCTTGCTAGATCATTAAAAATGATGATGAGGCACCGGAGCGTTTGGACCACTGGTTACAATGGTACTTCAGGTATTGCTCAGTTGTTCGGCATATAAGCTGTTAGATAGCCAACTGACTGGACACAGATGCGGGATCGACGGTGCCTCGGTTGATAAGTCGTTGTATTGTTGCATAATAAATGAATAAGAATTGATCGAATGTTTGCACTGCACCAGCACGTTGTGAACGTAATTCCCATAGTAACGATTCCACTGAGCGATCCTTACCAGCTCGGAGACATCTCAAAAAAAAAGACAACTTTCATTGCGAAGAAATTCACTGATAAACTAACTGCTTACAACCGCTATTCATCACATTCAGTCTATTCAGAATATCTTGTGTATGATTTTGTTCAATGCTCCAGCACTGTTAAAGAATATCATTGGACAGAAATCGACGAATTTCGATGCGGCAATAAAACTCGGTAATTTTTAGCAAGCGAACCTATAAACGATTTCCAACATAATAAAAGTGCCACTCCGCCCAATGCCAGCTGAACAGTGCACTACTGCAGGCGATTTGACCGTATTTGCAATGCCGTGCAAAGTGTACGGTGTTATTAATTGCTTTGGTGCGAATCGATCCGGCCAATCTTTCCACTGAAAATGTCGCACTTTTCTCGTCTCATTCTCGTAACTTATCCATAAAACCGTTAATACCACACCATGTCGACACTGTATCTGAAAAATGTCACCAATTTCATTGTGTTCATTTGGAAATTTCGACGAAACTCTTCAGTTTGTGGAAATCTCATGTGTCTTCTTTAAGTTAATCCAATTGAATTAAGAAACAAAGAGAAAATAAACTGAAAATGGGCATACATCATTATTCAAAATCGTAATTCCGTTGAATTGTTTTGATTCGTTAATTTTGATCGGCCAATAGGGTACGCATTTCTGATTACCGTCTTCGCATAACTCACATAGCATTATTATTACTTCAACACGTTCTTGCCATATCATTCGCCAAAAATCAGCTATTGTATTCTCTAATGGACCCTCAAATGTCTCATCATTTAATACATACTGTGAAAATTTTAGATAATGAGAA